GTCAAAGTCAACATCAAGGCCCCGACTCCCAGTGATGTCGGCTTATGGCACTGTTTTATACGCGTCGGCAGCTCGGACGACTCCGTGTCTGCGATTGAAAAGAAGTGTCGGGACCCCAATCCCAAGACTTGCAAGGCGGAATTTGCGCTGATGCATATAACCAAGACAGCCTCTGTCTACGTTGAGAGCGTCGACGTTAGTGGCAGACCCCAGCCTGGACGGCGCATCATCGGAACATGAACCCCTAAACATTGCGGACGGTCGTGGTCTCCTTCTCGAAAGCACTTCGCCCATTTGGCTGATTGGGACCTCGTTTCAACGCTGCACTCTTTATCAGTACAATCACCATCGCGCCTCCGATATCTAATACCGGTCTCCAGCAGGCCAAAAGCCCGTGTTGGCAAGGCAATGGGACTCAGCAACGAGCACCGGCGCCCTGGGTGGCCAACCCATCATATGGTGACCCATCATTCGGTCTTTGCGCTTCTCGCCGGTACAGCAGGTGTTCCGTGCCTACGGTCAGTGTTCGGTTTTGAGCAAGGATGTGGTCATCCACGGATCTGCTCTATGAGCCTCACACAATGCCATGAACGACAACAAGTAGCGCAACCCCAATTACGACGAGACGTCTGGGGTATCAAATGAACAAGATGTTCCTAAGCGGCGCATTGAACATGGCTTGGTATTCGACTAGCATGAGATCAACCCGAGACGTGATATACAATGCTGGGCTTGACTCCGGGGGATAAGCCGGAGACGACAGCCAAGCAGAAGGCCTTCAGAGGAGGTATGGGAGGTGTGATAGCATCTTATTTTATAACAGAGGAAGTTGGCCGGGACAAAGTGTATTAGGAGCGGCATTCACGGAGCTCGCGGCGGACGTGGTGGTAATAATGATGTTGAGATTGGAGAGCCGAATGACCGGGAAAAGTGCTGTGGTCCCATGGCTCGAACTTGGGGCTATCGTGTTGTTGAGTTGTATATTGTTATTTGTTGCAGCTAGGTGATTCGGTGAAAGAAGACCGAGGGCGGAGGTTTCCGGCGAAGAAGATGCCGGCGGAATGGTTTGTTTTTGTTACATTTGTTGTTGGTAACGACCGGGACCGTCATCACCGCAGTTGTATAATGAATGGGCAATTCACCGTTTTGTAGTCGCCAGGAAACTCGCATCTGGAAGAGACGCCCTTAAGAACTAACATTCGACGGCAGCATATGTATATGTATGTAGTGAACAGCCAGCCCTGACGTGTGTAAAAGCGCGACTGTACGTGAGAATCAAAGGTTGTCGGCGGTGTCTGACGGGATTGTCCTTCAGAATCGATGAAGTGAAAGATGCCGAAAGATACAATGATACAGGATGGAATTGGACGAGATGCGACGGCAGGACGGATATGCAAAGTGGGGTTAACGGGCGTTGGAGACATTCCCGGCTGGCATCCGCTGTCAACAGGCGTCCAGTCGGCAACGGACGTCGACCGAGCTTCCTGGGCAGGCCATCTCTCCGCATGTGAAATGTACCTCGGCGCATTGCCTCCCGTCACAGGACAAGCGTCATCGCATCCAGGATCGAAGCCGTAGGAAGCTCGACGCCAAAGCAACAAGATGATTTGTGAAACTGACGCCAGATCCAATTCCCCAGGTGATTCGCGCAGCCGCTTGCTTAATCGAGTAGCTGTATCCGTTGTGGTAATCCCGAACGTAGCTTGTCCCGTTTCTGCTTGTGAGAGGTCGTGACATTCTCTCTCGGTCTTGTCTTTGCCCGTGGGGAACCCTTGTCATCTCTTGTGTGCCTCGTGGTTTATAAAGTTGTCGCCCTCCCCATTTCCCCTTTGCTGTCATCCCGTTTCATCCGTAACATCTCTCTCTATCCATATACCTAGTCCATTTCGCTCACTTCACATTTTACCTCACTTAATCTAATCAACCCCCCAAATCTACCAAAATGTCTCTCAAGAACAGTATGTCTTTTACCCCTAGACCAAACCCGCGTTCACACTCTTTGCGCCCATGTTGCGCTCGCTGCGATGGGCGCAATGGTTTGTCAATATGTTCCTCGACCCGAATAAGTGCTGACTGCGACCGTGTAACGATGTAGACAAGTTCCCTTCCTCCGCCGCTTTCGACGCCATTAACAGCGCCCTTACCGGCAGCGACGCCGACCGCAAGGACGCCATCAAGCAGGGCAACGCCGTCTTTGCTTTCGTCCTCAAAAACGCCGCCGGCGAGACCGACCAGTGGCACATTGACCTCAAGAACAAGGGCGAGGTTGGCAAGGGTCTTGGCGAGAAGCCCACCGGTTAGTTTTCCTTCCACTTACCTGCCCATCCATCCCCACCCCGCCTTTGGCTTCTTTCCAGTTGGGCTTCATGTTCTCCTTTTGTGCAGCGACAGAGACTAACAGCGCTTGCTTATCAAATATAGTCACCCTCTCGCTTTCCGACGCCGACTTTGCCCAGCTCGTCGCCGGCAAGGCCAACGCTCAGCGCCTCTTCATGTCCGGCAAGCTCAAGATCAAGGGCGATGTCATGAAGGCTACCAAGCTCGACCCCATCCTCAAGAAGGCCCAGACCAAGGCCAAGCTCTAAATGCTTTTGGCTTCAAATTTTTTTTTAACAATATGATACCATGATATTTTCGTCGTTCAAAGAAGACAAGCAGAGGTGTTGTGGTTATGATTGTGGATTTGGGGCATCTGTAACGTGTACTGATTGGATGGAATAGTGATGGCGATGGTGATGGTGCTAGTGTGTCGGTGTTTCGTATTGTTGTGCTGTACAAATACCCGTCTGGAAGGGAAGCTATTGGACATGATAGCCAGCGGCTCTCTACAGATTTGAATTCAGTTTGAATGTATTCAACCTTGGTGCTGTCCGCATCCCGCTTTGGGATGGAATTATTATTTTCATCGCAAGTACCAGTTGCGAATCGTCCGATGTTTGTCATTTGACATGTGACAGTGCTCGTCCATCGTCAGCCACATGCCACCCATGAACTTGCAAATGGGCTAGGATGGGCAAAATGTAGTTAGCCGAACCCAGTTCGTACCGGTTTTCGGAGAGAGCGGGCTGTTCAGCAGCGTGCCCAACGACTTGTAGGTGTGGCGCGTGACACTTGTTGCCTTGGTGAGCCATTCGTTGAGACAACTTGACAGGGTTGCGAATAGTTCGTTGGAAAGGATGGGTGCGATTTGTGCGCGGTGGCTTCGCGTTGGTTGCGACTTGGCGACACAGTTGGAACCATTGACTTCTTTCGACTTCTGCACAGCAAAGGGGACGCCCAAAAAAGGTGCGGGGGGACTGAGAGGCAAGAGATGCTCACGATCGCAGCCGATGGCTTGATTGGTTCCGACGACAGCCACCGCGATCCAGTGAGCCACTCTCTCTCCTTGTCAAGATAGTGATCCATTCGTCAGAATGTGTCAGGGTCAGTGACAGTAATTACCGTCAGTGAATTGAAAAAATGGTGAGCCTGACAGCGATTCTGGCAGCACAGTTCCTTGATATTGTTCTCAGAGCAGCAAAGTCTTCAAAATCTTACCTCCGAGTGGCCTAGGGCTTCTCTTAGAGCAACGGGAAAGCAGGAAAGTACTAAAATGCTCTTGAATGGGCGGCTGGTGTCAGCTTTGTGCTTGTATCAATAAGTTGTTGAAGCTGTCTATGTAAGTGGAAATCGAAAGTTCAGACTGGTGCACGAACCCGGTCAGGTCGGTAATTACGGAAATTTTCCGTGTCATGAAAAAATAGGAGAATGACTGAAATAATGGATCAATACTGTCGCAACTCGAAGTGGACGCTCCAGGAAACTACGACCAGGCCCGTGCACAGCTGCCAAGAAAACTGAATCGGCGATGGATTGCACGTCCATTGGCGCACGTTGTGGTCATCGATCCCTCTTTTTGTGTGTGTCGGCTTTTGGTGGTGAGTGGCTCGTGCACAAGAATGCAACGCGGTGAGAGCATGGTTCCTTTCCTGACGGGATCCCGCCAAAACACTCCAGTCCCCCGCCAGTCTGACACTTTCCACGGGTCGGCAGGGCACTGACCGTCATCAGTGACCCACGATTTTTGCTGGTCGCCCTTGTCTTCTGGCACATACTACTCTACTAGCGACGTGACCTACCACTACGTACCTCTACACCTCCTTCCGCCCTATACAGACACTGCAGTTTTTTAGTTTTTTTTTAGTTTTTTTTTTTTCCCTACAGTCGTCCGCCACGGCGCCATCAAAGAAACAAGAAGGACTGAACCAGGGTTGTCCATCTCCCATTCACGTCCCTGTGGACAAACACACCAACCATCATCGACTTTATCCCATTTCTGTGCCAGCATCCATCATCCACTTGAATTTATCATTGCCGTCTATTTTGCTCTTTTGTTGACAGGCCCAAGTCGGTCGGTCTTTATACTGCCCGCCCTCCGCCCTCGTCCCTCCGCTCCCGTGACGAGCTTTCACCACACGGCATTCCTTCTTTGACGGTCGCGCGAGCCCGGTCGCTACTTGCTGTACTGTAAACGTAGCAGCCATCGGTGTTGGTCAAGGACTTCACCTGTCACGGTCGGCGTGTTTCTACCCTTTCCTGTTCGAAGGCAAGCCGAAGCCCTGGAAGCTCCCACCGCTGCCCACGCCCGCTGCCGCCGTTGCTGGGAATAGACCACCGACCGCCTTGTCGCGCAACCCCCAAAAATTTCCCACGCCTTTCCAGGTTTCCCACACAAAACCCTCAACCTTTATTCCACGTCGAGCAGCATCCCGTCCCCCTCGCTTCCTCGTCCGTTGTGACGCGCCCACAAACGCGCCGAAACCCATCGCGGGTTCCTGTTTATGCACGACAGCGACAGCGAGTCCTTTTATAATCCCGCCTTTGTGACTCGGCTCTAGAATAATCAACACCGCCACGCCACCACACCTGTCCGCCTCGGCCTCCCGCCTATCCCTAAATCCCACGTCTCTGCCCTTGTCCATTGACATTTCGGTCGGCGAAACCCCTCCAGTCTCGTCGCCATGGATTCGCAACCGAACAAGAGGCGTAGCATTTTTGGCCTGGCCACCAATCTCTTCCGCGGCTCCTCTGCGCCCGCCGACGACTCGGATTACAAGATCGAGTCCCCCCAGCAGAATGGCATGAACAAGGCACAGTCCGTCCTGCGCATCGACTTCAACAGCGCAACGCACGAGAGCCCTGCCAAGCGCGCGTCCGATGCGCAGTTGGCATCCCGCAAGCTCATCGGCCGCCCTCAGGGCCCGTCCAGCAAGCTTGCCCAGTCCTTCTCCAGCACAGACTTCACAGAACTGTCATCGGCGCCGCAAAAGAAGATTACATTCCAGGCTGCTTCGGCCACCGGCGCGACGAGGAGGATGCCCGGTGACAATCCCTACAAGTCGCCGGCTCCCGTCACAGGCTCCAAGGGGCTGGTTGTCAGCGGAAAAGGTGCGAAGGCAGCCAGCTTCTCTGGAACCGCTACGAGCACAGCACCGAGCAACATCTTCCGTGCTGGCACTCCTTCCCTTTATCAGCGGCCCAGCGGCACGACCTTTGCTCCGCGCATCGTCCCTGGCGGCTTAAATAGCAGCCTTCCCCAGACCACCCCCGGTCGCACTTCCCGCCATTCAACCGCTGAGCTCCTTGGTGCCGTCCCGGTCAACACGGAGCTTTTCAAGATGAGAATCCCCGAGCCTCCTCGTCACTTGACTGGCGAGGTACTGGCTAAAGAAGTCCCAGATGATCCCAACAGGGCCGGTTCCATTTATGCCGACGAGTTTTTGGCTCACTACTGCCCGCCCGATCTCGATGAGCAACAGAAGAAACAGTTTTTTTGCATCCTAGACTTGAGACGACTCAAGTATGCCGCCGATGAGATATTCACCAAGAAGGACTGGAAAATCAACATTCTGAACTTTGCAAAGGAGTATGAGAAGAGCCGTAGCTTGATTATGCTGCGGTACGGCTTGTACGAATTCAAGACGGTTAGAGCTTCGGAAGAAGTCAAGAAGGAGTGGAGGCAAAAGCATGGAATTGCGGAATCCGAGGAAGAAGCCAGCGCATCCTCGAATCTCAGGACACCGGCTGGCTCCAAGAGAAAGGCCGAGGAGGAATTGTCGCCAATTGACGGCGCCCTAAAGGCTTCCACCACTGCTGGTAACAAGCGCCCGCGCGCTCCAGAACCGACCAGCCCTTCGCCAATCAAGCAAAAGCCTAAGCGCAAGGCCTCCATGGTTGGATCGCCAGACGAAGTTCAGCCTGCCAAGCTGCAAAAGGCCTCGGGAACCCCAACCAAGGCGTCCTCTGCCACCAAGTCTGTTTTTGAGAGCATTGTCAACAACACGCCAACCGCGACAGTCAAGAAGGCCGCGACTGGTACTGCAAAGGCTGCCACGACCAAACCTGCGCTTAAATCTGTGTTTGAAACTGCTCCCAAGCCCGCATCCTCTGGCAATATCTTCGGTCATCTCTCCGACAGCAAGAGCAGCAATGATGACGACGATGCGGATAGCGATGCCGAGACAGCTTCCAACGTTGACGACGATGAGGATGAGGCCGAAGCTCAGCATGCTGGGTCTGCCAGCACTGGTGTTGCTACTCCTCAGTTTGGACTGGGAAGCCAAGCAGCGGTGAATGGTGGACCTAGTGCCTCCTCGGACGCCGGAGGAAGCTCCCAGGGCCGTAGTATCTTCGATCGTATCACCAGAGGATCTGACGGACAACCAATCCGCAAGCCCCTTCCTCAAGAGGGCAAGTCTGACCTGTTCTCTGCCACTCTCAAGGAGGATCGACCACTCAGCACAATCCAGGAGCAAGCCTCTTCCCCTGCTCCGGTCAACAACACTTGGAACACTGAGACGCCCATCAAGTTTTCCTCTGGCCCCAGCAACCTTTTCGGGGCTGCGGCATCTAAGCCTGCTGCGTTGAGCAACCTCTTTGGAGCCCCCGCAGCTAAGAAGGCAGACGAGCCTGCACCCAGTAAGGAAGCCACCCAGGACTCGGAATCCAAGAGTATTTTCGGGGCTCCTTCCAGGAAGGCCGATGAGCCGGTTTCCGAATCCCCCAAGGCATCAACGGCTTCGCTGTTCTCATTCGGAGGAAAGACCGTTGATACTTCCGCTTCCACGCCTTCACTCTTCGGTACTTCCGCACCATCGGCCCCAGCGCCTGCTGCTACAAGCTCGCTCTTCGGCTCTGGCACCAGCACCCTCATCTTTGGCCAAGCAAAGGATACGCAGGAGTCCAAGGAGACCACGCCAGCTCCCTCTCTTTTCGGTGCTAAGCCTGCAGAGTCGTCTACGATTGAAGCCCCCAAACCCTCGGTATTCCAATCAAACACGCTGTTTGGCAGTGCTCCGGCAGCCAGCGAACCATCAAAGACACAACCAGCCAGCATGTTCAGTAAGCCCACGTCGGCTGAAACGCAAGCGACGCAAGCTCCGGCCTCCTCGATGTTTGGGGCCAGCGCGTCAAAGCCCGCCACTTCCAGCCTGTTCGACGCTGCCTCTGCTTCTGGAGCAGACGAGCCGGCGGCGAAGAAGTTTGCGTTCGGCAGTACTGAACCCAAGCCTGCTGCCTCTACCTTCAGCTTCGGCTCTACCACTCCCGCTCCCGATGCTGCCAAACCCGAGACTAAGAGTCTCTTTGGCACCACCAATGGCGCTACTCCTGCTACTGAGACGAAAAATATCTTTGGCAGCAGCACCACTCCGGCTCCTGTCACTGAAGTCAAGAGCCTTTTTGGCGGTACGGGTAGTGCGGCCCCTGCTACTCAGCCCACGAACCTCTTTGGCAACACTAGCGCGCCCGCAACGGAGACTAAGAATCTGTTCGGCAACGCTACTACTCCTGCTGCTGAGACCAAGAACCTCTTTGGCAACAGCAGCACAACCGCGCCTGCAGAGACCAAGAGTCTGTTCGGTAACACGACTACCTCAAGCACACCCTCGGACTCGAAGCCTTTGTTCGGCGCCAGCACTAGCCAGCCCGAAGCCTCGAAGCCTCTATTTGGTGCCCCCAGCAGCCAGCTCGAAGCTTCCAAGCCTCTGTTTGGTGCTACGAGTAGTCAACCTGAAAGCTCCAAGCCAGCTTCCATCTTCGGAAATAACAACCTTGCTCCTGCGCCTGTCCCTGCCTCATCGAGCTTCACTTTCGGGTCCACGGCAGCCTCGACTACTACTCAACCTGCTCCGGTTGCTGCTTCTAGCTTTAGCTTCGGCTCTGGTTCTCCTGCGCACACACCTCAGCCGGGCGGTAGCTTTTCCTTTGGCGTCACACCTGCTTCGCAGCCTTCCCAGCCCGAGCAGAACGGTAACATGTTTGGAGCCAACACTTCTTTCACGTTCTCAGCTGCGGGTAAGGATGCTAGTGCTATTAACAATCCTTTTGCTGCCGGAGGCGCCGCTACTCCCACCTCGTCATCGTTTACCTTTGGCCAGACAGGTGGTACCTCTGCGCCGTTTGTGTTTGGACAAAACAGTCAAAACAGTCAAAACACTCCATCCATCACCTTTGGCGGTTCCCCGGACTCTACACAACAAAACGGCAGCTCCAATATGTTCGCCTTTGGTGGTCAACAGCCCTCTGGGGGTGGATCCATGTTCAACCTGGCGCCGCCCTTAGGGGGGACATCAACAGGTACTGGTAAGTTGAGACCTCGACCGCGGCGACGCTTCTAGCCGGTGAATTATCATTAATCGACCGCAACGACTAGATTCCCCCAAAACCTTTGGCGGTGCCTCTAGCTTGGCCACCACGCCGGCTGTGGGGACACCAGAGCCAGTGGCTGCCGAGTCCAAGGATGCTCAAGGAACGCACGCTGACGGGGATGAGGCACCACAGGAGCAAATCTCGCTAGTCGAAGGCGGCCCGGGGGAAGAGGACGAGTCCGTCGTGTATGAAGTTCGTGCCAGGGCGTATAAGCTCGCTGCTCCCGATGACGATGATGACGAAGGCTCCAAGGAGAAAAAGAAGCCCTCCGCGTGGAAGCTGCAGGGAGTCGGTCCCCTGCGTCTGCTCAAGCACAAGGATACGGGTGCGGTGCGCATGCTGATGCGTGTCGAACCCAGAGGCAATGTCGCGCTCAACAAGACCATCCTCCCCAACTTCACCTACAAGCCTGATGCTGCGGCCCCCAAGAACATCAAGATCACCACAGCGACGGACGATGGCAAGGGTCTGGAGACTTGGATGCTAACCACCAAGACGACGCAGGCTTTGGCCGATGCGTTGGAGGAGCACAAGAAGGCCAATGAAAAGAAGGATTAATGAGTTAGATGGATAAGAAGGATGCATGGATGAATCGGTCAGATTAAGGAAATGGATAGCATAGGAAGAGTTGTTTGCAAAAAAAAGAAAAAAGTTTGTAGTTCACAGCATTTGTTTCGGTTTTTGATTTTTTTTTGATTTAATGGGGTAGAACTAGAAGCGGAGTATTTTTAGACTCGACGGTGCTGCGTGCGGGTGGTCGGTCGGTGGTGAAGGTGGCGGCGAGGCGTCCAAACTAGAGATCAGGTAAGGTATAGGTTCATTTTTTTGGTTTTGGTTTTTTATCATTACCTTAGTTATATTCATTCTGCTCTGCATTACATGGATGGATGGGAGGATCGATCGTCATGGCTTTCAATTGTCAAGGGATTCTTTTTATGTCCCGTCTGCCTTCAGATTCACAAAACTTTTCAAATTCGCATTCCTACACATACGGCATAGCATTGTTTTTTTTTTTTCGCGAGGTCTTTCTGTTGGTTGCCTACCTTTACTTATCTTTATATCCCGCAAAGCATCTCTCGTCAGTAGTCTAAAAGTATCGCGAAATGTGTTTGTGTACTTATCTTCAGCTGGGTCCGGGTCCGTCCGTCTCTTAGGATATGAAAATTGAACGAGCCCCTTGGGGGAAAGTCGAAGAAGGAAAGCGCGGGGGAGGTGCGGGAGGTGCGGAAGGAAGAACACTCGGACGGAACGGTTGGCAAAACGAGCGTGGAAGGAGCAGGAGGAGGAGGAGCAGGCCGGGGGAGGCCGTTGCGGAATGAGCACTTCAGTTACTTAGGAAGGAAGCATCACAGGTTCGGCAAATAGAATGTATCCGATGGTGCCGTGGTTTTCATGTTGTTTACCTATTTACCGCTTCAGCTCTTGAACCAGATGGTACTTTTCTAGCGTCTACACAACGGATGAATTGACGATTGAGTTTGGCCCTTGTGATATCCACCAATCGCCATCTCAAGGTGGCGTACCTGCCTGGACCTGCTAAAGTATGGACATGTTCCACCATTGGTAGTGAACAACAAGTAGTAGTACTTTTTGATTCTTTTGAGTCTTATTTGTTTTCAAGTTGACGCTATATGTTTTTTGGGCTATTGTCATTTCATTACATTACCAGTAAGTTAAGTAGGTTTGTGAGGCAGGTAGGGAGGTAGGGTAAGTTGGTCGAAGTTCTGTTTTGCCATCGGTCACACTTCCTTCCTGCCCTTCTTGCTTTTTTTTGTCGTCATGGTCGTAACTACTTCCCATCACATCTATCCCCTAGGTAAGCACATCGTATTTGTCCCCGAATGTCATGTTCTCCTCCTCGTGCCCAAGAGGGTTTCTTGTCATTCGCTTTCTTGTCCACACCACTGGTTCTTTCCGCCAGGCGCAGTGGTTATGAGAAGTTGTTTTCCCGAGTGCCTTATGAGCCATCATGTCTTGCTCTAATTTGCCAATCTTTTGTTCCCACTTTAAAACACAAAATGAAAGACAAAGACAGTAAAAGAGCCTGGAGAACCTCAAGATGTTCCACATACTTTCCTGCTCATAACGCCCGTTCCGGGTTGATGAAACCTTCCAATTCAAGGGACGGGACTGGAGAGAATGGCGCCAGAGGAAGGAAGGGTTTAATAAGGTAGTGGCACAGCAGACGGTGATGGGGACTGATGTGTAACGGTGGCGTTATTATTGCCATTGTTAGAAGGGCCGGATCCAGATGAGGGAGGGGAGGGAGAAGCTGTCCCTGGGGCTGGCGCGGAAATGACTGCCGCCGCCTCATAAGCGGGAGAGGCGGAAGCGGGGACGGGAGAAGAAACCGAAGAAGCTACAGCAGCAGCAGCAGCAGGCTCGTCAAGCTGCTCCGAATTTGCTCCCCCATTAGTAGGCTCCCGTGATGGAGTGTTGGTCCCCGTTCCCATTATCGATAAGGGAGGCGTCTCTTCGTATGCAGGTGGTGGTACATGATCTTGATCTGTCATTTCGGGCGCCGGGCTGTGGATGGTACTGTGTCCCGGACTGGGGGAGGGATACCTGGTCAAGCTTGGAGACGTCGGCGCAGTGGTTGCGGCGCTCTGGGTCACGCTGGCACTCAACAGGCTGGTACCAGCACTACTATATCCTGGTTGATTCGGATGGCTCTGGCTGTGAATCCCCGATCCGTTGTGCTGGTAGTAATGTACCGGTGGGGGTGGCTGTAGACTTGCCTGTGATCCCAACGGTGCCGACGATAGAGATTGTTGTGAGAAGGTGCCCGCACGGTAATTCCAAGAAGCCATGTTTCGCATTTCTACACCGGCGTGCGCAGCACTGCTGGCTCCTTCTCCGACGGCGGACCCTGCTGGACCAGCCGGCGTTTCGATTCCATAGCCATGGTAACTATTCCCACCCTCTTCAAGATCAACATCGCTGCCTTCTTTCATAACCGGCTGCTTCTCATATGGCGGTGGCGCCTCACCCAGCTCGTTCAGTCCTTCCTCAGGCCTGAAGAGGCCTGCCCAGTCCCATCTCCTTATTGCCGCCGGTCGAGAACTACCCCATGCCACGCCCCCGGTTCCAGATCTCGAACCAGTATTGTTATGTCGCTGTGTCGGCGCCCCGCGCACCCAAGACTCCTGAAGATCACGCTCGATCAACGCCAACGAAGGGCCATCAACCTCGCGAACTCCGAAGTGAGTCTGCCCGTCACGGCTATGACTTGTTGATGTATGATTGGCAGATGGTCGTCTTGCTGGGGTGGGGACACGATAACTTTTGCGTTTTTCGACGAATTGCTTGCGCCGGCGGACGTGAAGACAGAGGGCCAGAGCGCCCAGGACAATAACGAGGCCGACGGGAATCATAACCCAGACCCAAGGGTGGTTGTTATCATCGTCGTCATCGGTGATTCCCGGGGGGAAGCCCCCGAACCCTGACCCTGAGGACATACTGGTCTATATCTTGTTCGAAACTGGCGGGGTCGAAAGGGGGTGCAGGGGCCGTGGAAAAAGCTGGAGTAGAATTTTGTTCAAGGGTGGGTGAGACAGCTCCGGCTTTGGCTCCAGCTCCAGCTCCAGAGCGAGTGATAGCCGACGAAGTGTCGTTCTGTCGTTTGCGTCGCGCTCCTAGTCGTGCTCGCTCGCTTGCGCTGTATTCTGATTTCGATTCAGGTCGGCGAGATGCTAGCGGAGGAGAAGATGCGGTGAGAGCTGTGTCGATTGGTGAATCCCTTCAAGGGCTGTCAAACGCAAGTAGTAGAAAGGAAGTAGAGGCTTTGGTAGTCAATTCATGACTGTTCGTGGTAGAGATAGTCTCGGGTAGCTGTAACCCGTACTGTGCTGTGTGGTACTACTGGCGGTACTTTCTAGGCTGTGACGCGGGAAGCCGTAGAAGAACCGGGAACGCTGACATTACTCGATCTGGCAGTGGATGAAGTTGAAGTTGATACCATGACTGGACCGGTCAGCGCTGGTTTTGATGTTTGGGCAAGTCGAGAAAGGGAAGAGGGGGAGCTGGAGAGGAGGAGGAAAAATGGTTAGATGAGGGATGAAGGTCGGGTCGGCAAGCGGTACGTGATGTGATGATGGCGTTGAATCGCCGGCCCGCACAGCTTGGGGCTGCTGCAAGTGGACAATGGGGAACTGCAGTGTTAGTGCGTGAAACTGTCCAGTGACAGTGCTTCACTGGTCTTTTTGTCTTTTGTGAAGCCGGGGGATACTGGGATCTGCAATGCAGGGTAGTACCTGAGGTTGCAGTCGATGGAGTCATTTCATCCAACTGCCCAACCTTATTTCCAGGGTGCATTCTCACTGCCGCATCACTGCCGTAGGATTGACCGCAGCCAGACGACAATTGTATGGCAACGGCAGCTGCAGTGCAGTTTGTGAGGCATGCATGTCTTAGTCCTGAGCTCTTTCTTGCTTCCGGAAGGCTGTCTTTAGAAAGCAGATTACAAGGGAAGGAAGCACCGCCAGCTTCAAAATGGAACAAGCTTCGTTTGCGGCTGCATTTCTAACAGTTCGTCGGCCGTCCCAGCCGTCTTCGCTTTGCACATTTTCTGTTTGGCGTAACAAGACGCTCCCGGGTATCGAGCAGTGTCCCGATATACAGAATCTGAAACTGTCATTTTCAGACCGTAGTAGTCACCTCTAGATGTCGCCCTCGTCATATCAACGTCTTTTTTTCTTTGTTTCTCAGCGGATAAAGAACTGAACATGCGGGCGTGTTTCGAAAGGGCATGTTGGTTTGATGTACTTTTTTTCTTTGCATCATTGTCAGCCAACAAGAAGACATACCTCGGTTTCCCCGCCGCAATCCTCCGAGAGCAAACAAGTCCAAGAGGCTTTGGGCTCCCTGGCCAGAAAAGATATTTCTCGGTCTCCATAACAGCTCCTGAATCCTCGACTTGGTGAAATACTCTCAGTCTAGAGAGCACTCGGTATCCGCACCCAATATCCGATTAAGACTATCACCAATCTAAGCTTACGATTGGCACGAGTTTGAGATTCGATCTCCGCTCCCACGCTGGCACTCCCAAGCGAAAATATGGGGTGTTTTACTGCAAGCGGTTAAGCCTTCCCGCCCAGCGATCCCTGGCAGCACCCAAGTCCCGAAACGGTAGTGTACAAGATTCGTTTTTGGAGATGTCCCAGGTCAGGTTCCTATCATCCCCTTGCCTGCGATTGCCTGAAAATTGATCACATTCAGAGTGTCCATTGAGATCCAATGTGATCATCCAGGACCGCCAGGAACTCATGGATGGAGCATTGTGACCGTTGGAAAAAGAAAAGATAAGGCTTGCTCGTGCTATTCTGATATCTGATGCAAGGGAAGATTTATCCTTATGCCGTTGTGAGTGCCAACGCCAAACAGTGTTGGAGACGGGTTTTTCCATCCAACAACCCAACTAAACCCTTTAAACAGAGGGAAACTCCTCACTGCATCCTTGCTGCCCTGCTTTACTTTTACACGAAGCATACCGATAACGTAATTCGACCATAACTCTGTTTGGTGTATAAACCCAGAAAGCGATTCACCTCTTGGTCCTGAGGGGGCTTTTCATGAAAATCATAGGCATCATCAGAGAAGGGAACTGCTCCTGCAGATGGAGGTTGAAGTGAGGGTCGTGATGCCCTCATCGTCTGTTCTGAACTGAAGCGGGTAGTTGCAAGGCAGGTACCTACCTCTAAAAGTTCCTGAACCCGTACGTAATGCGCCGTATTTCGTAAGCCTAGGGGCCCGTGCATGCCACTGCAATGCCACGTCGCTGCCATTCCAAACATTCAAGGTTTACCCATCATTACAGAGAAAGCGGCAGCCTACAATTCGTACGCTCAAAACGCTGTATTTTAGTTTACAACACAGCACCCTTCACATGCCCAGTTCTTCCGCCAACAAACCAACCATCCAACCATATCCTAACCAACAACCAACATAACTCGAGACATTCCAAAACACGTTGCAGATATCATCACTATCTGAAAACACACCCGAGAAGCCAACTCAGTCAGCAAATAGACGAAGACGCTGCAAATTTTTATATCAAGACTAGACACCACAGTTATTCAAGATGCCGAGAGCAATCAGAGGTCAGTCCTAATCCCCATGAGAGACCATATGAATGACGTGCCTGTTGAATGGTCCAGCCCAAGATCCATTAACAACATCACGCCCCCCACTGTGATGCGATGAAATGGTCGTTCTGCTAACGTTCCTGGTCTAGGTGTACTCATCCAGTGCGAACCAGCCATCAAGTCCATCATTGTTCACTTGGATAGTGTCAACAACGATATCATTATCGAAGACCTAGATGAGCAGACTCTGGTTGTTAAGGAAAACATGGTGCAACTGCTCAAGCAGAAACTCGAGGACGTAAGTCTTTTTTTCTCTTTCTTTCTTGTTTGCTACTTCGAGCGGTGACTCTTGGTTCGCTATATATAACATCGTTTTTATGTCTGATTACATCGCGTTCCTTCTTACTGACAATTTCCTACCTACAACAGCGCCTGAAGGAAACATACAGGCCCGAGGAACCCCTGGCAGACAGTGACTAGAGTCGTTAACGCCCTTACAACTGGTTGCTCCCGTCAGAGCTTCGAAAAAACGGGCTTCTTCTTCTGCACGCTAGCCGATAGCGCGTCCATCATATCTCTTGATTGTAAAGCAGCCGAGTTCCAGACGGTGGTATACCGCAAGCCTTTATCAAAAGTGTCAGTTTAACGTTCAAAATAATAAGTGCAAGAAATGAGTGGCAAAGAAAGAGAAGAGACATACTCTCAGCAACGGAGTGATCCCTCGCGTGGTTCAGCAACTCCTTAGTTCCCTGCACAGCAATCGGGCTCTTTCCAGCGATCAAGCCCGCCAGCTTGACGGCCTGGTCCATGGCAGCCGCCTTGCTGTCGAGGACGTGGCTGACGAAGCCAACCTGTTGCGCCTCGGCCGAGCCGAACTCTCTGGCTGACAAGCATACCTCCTTCACCCACGAGAAGTTGCCGACGGCCTTGGGCAGCCGGGAAAGGGTGCCAATGTCGGCGGCCAGGCCGATGTCGACCTCCTTAACGGCCAGCCGGACGTCGCGCGTGCAAAGGCGGATGTCGGCAGCGCAGGCGATGTCGATGGCGAGGCCGAGGGAGATGGCGTGGAGGACGACAATGACGGCTTTGGTTTGTTTTAGGTTAGCAAAATAGATTCTAACCGGTCTGCCATTGTCTTTGGTACATGTACGAGTGAAGAACTTTAAGTGGCAACTAAGCACATTTCAATACATACGTTTCTCGCACAGCTCGATAGCCGAAATGCTATCCTGGAACTCAGTAATGTACCGTCTCAGCTGGGCCGCCTTGCGCCCAACGTCGGGGGCGTCGCCCGATTGCAACTGGTTGTTCGAGCTGGCCGCATGGATGTCCAAACCCGCCGTGAAACCCCGGTCGCCGGCGCCCGAGAGGACCACGGCCCGCACGTCCGGATCCGACGACAGCTGCCGGAAGATGGCGCCCAGCTCCAGCCACATGGCCTCGAAGAAGGCGTTGAGCTTGGCGGGCCGGTTGATCTCGACGTGGGCGACGAAGTCAGGACCTGCCGAGGTCACGTTGAAGTGCTTGTAGGATGTGTATCCCTTGAGTTGTTGTTGTTGAGCCATCTTGTGTGATTTGTGGTCGTTCTTCTGGAAGATGTTTAGGACGTCTCGGAATTGGACACGAAGGGACGAAGATATCACAATTGGTGGGATGATGGGAGAAGATGGATTGGATAAACGTATAGTTGAGTAGTCAAGTGAGAATAAATATCAAAGAGTTATGATGAAAATGAAGATGATTGTTATAGATCTTGAGCTGCATCTTGATGATGGTAACCTAGGCAGTAGGGAGGAGTTGTTGACTGATACGTTGTCAAAGTTACCGAGGCTCAGCTGCAGCGGGCAGCAGCAACTCAGCAGCCGTTAAACGGTCGGGTAAGAGTGTGATCGGTACCCTTCTTTTTGCTGACCGCAGTCAGAAAAAGGTACTTCGGGTTAGAAAGTGGCACGAGCCATGAATTATTTCGTTGCCAAATTTTTAGCGTTGAAACGTTGTCTTTGGGAATTATATTGAGATTTTGTCGTTGTTAGGTTGCGTTACCCTAAAATATAGTAGCTTCAGTGGTTTTAGCGCTCGGGATGTCCAAAAATGCAGCTTTTTGTTGCTAACCCGGGTCAGCAGGATGCGAGCAATGTAGTTAGCTATAAGCCAAAATATAGGGGGGGTTTTGCTAACCCGAGTCAGCAAGTCAAAAAATGGTACTTCGGCTTCAAAAAGTTAAAAGATCACGATTCTAACCGCGGTCAGCAAAAACCAACGCCATCGATCACGCTCTAAAGAAGCGAATGGGACGGCCAAGAACCAAGACGTGACGTTGAATGAAGAACCGACGCCGGCGCCGGGAGCCACATCGGACCATTGAAAAGGACAAAGGCCCGTTGCGGGGGAATTGAGCGTAAAATAGTGGGTGCTCCCGTACATCCGAACTTTGCTATTAGAGACATGTGAGCAGCGGTGTTATAATTGGCATATTTATAGATCCCGGACGCGGTTTTGTTGTTTGCATCTTCAATGGCACAACCTCTAGATGAAACTGAAGCAACTGGCACAGAGTAGGATTCTGATTGAAAAGCGCATCCGGGAAAAAAATAAGAAGAAAAAATAAGAGGTGTTCGCTACCCCTCCGTCAATGCCTCGCATTCCTGGTGGGCAATCCGTGGTGGTGGCGCTTATTGATCCCTCCTAGGGTTACCTTGGATGTGCATACGGATTACTATGCGCCGGACTCTATGCTACACTACCGTGACTACCACGTAGGTACCTAACCTGAAGCGTTGCTAGCATATGGATTTCAAGCCAATAAACCCGCCCTTCGAACTGGGAACCCGATAGTGTCGTGTAATGTGATGCGTTTGTTGTGTCCGCTGATGAAAGAAAAGAGGACTCGGGTGAGTTGTACACGAGCGGCAGTTTCGTCTATAACGGAGAATCCCATGTTTGAAGGGATGCCACTTTTGCTGATTTACCGTTAATACTCGGTCTGCTTTGCCCTGGCGTACAAGTCTTGGAACAGCCGGCAAAAGAAATGGTGGAGAGGGTGGACATGATGGGCGATATTAAGGGGAAGGAAGGATAGGTTTGGAGTCTTTTTGCGTTGACAGGGGCGGGGATGCTCCTGCTTCTTCAAGCATCGTGGACTGTGAAGAAAGCTGTACACTACCTGCCGCTCCGTCTCCAGTGCCGCCTGGCGGGACGAAAAGCCGCGCGAGCAACGCTATTCTGTAGACTCCTCTCCGGTGGTTTTACCCGCAACTGGAACTGTCAGCGATCCCACCGAGCCCACCGGCACGGACGAGTGAGGTGATCCATGACAAGTGGAAGCACCCCCGTGGATGCCCAGCGGCCCAATCACTATCGCATCCCCGCCGCTTGTCTGGCCCTCATTGAAACCTCATTGGCGCCCCCAAAGGCGGACGACCCCATCGTGCCCATTCTCTGGCTCCTAGGACCAGGGCGTGATTGTGACTTTTTCCTAGCCTACCATTCCATTCCCTGGAACTTACTCCAAACTTGCGACGACATCCTTTTTTCAGCTTCATAGTTCCTGTCGAACCCAGGCTCTGTCGAGCTCGCTTTCTGCCACCCTCTGAGCTTCCCTCGAATCCCTCCCCTCCCCGATCGCGAGGCGCGCAATCGCGACCTCAACCACACTTTGGCTTACTTTGGCCCAAGCAGCCACTCGAGCCTCGATAGCCAACGGTTTCGCTCTTGTGTTACGCTCTGTGGGCTTCCGCTTAGCTGTCCTATTTGCTCTAATCTTTTCTCGCTTCCTCGAGACACGACATCCTGGGGCCCTTCCCCCCCGTCCCTCGAGTCCGCTACCCGTCGCCGTTCCTGTCGCTTTTATGGTCGCCGTCGCCATCGTCCTGTGGTGCACGACAACCCGCCTCCTGATATTGTCCACCACCATATCCGCCTCGCCCGACCACTATCGCAATCGCGACCAGTCTACATATTTCACAGACGCGATCCCATAAGACTTTTGCCTTTGCGGTGCATTCGAAGGAAACCGGCCTCGGTAACGAATTGCACACGCCTTTGCCCAATTCGCGATCCGAAGCCTTTCCGCCCGCGACTGTTCGAAAGACATCACAATCTGATCCGGTCTTTCTCGTATAGCCGTCTACGACAACTTGCGCGAATCTGGGATCTGCATACAGCTTCTACTCTACCGCTTGCGCCCTCGTTCAAGGCCCCTCCGCAACCAGGTTGATCGAATGATGGACATAGAACGAAACGAGTGCTCCTAAAAGACCAATTCTTCAACACGCCAGAGTTGTCACTCCCGCCAAGGACATATCGCAATCTGGACTCTCGCGCTTTCCCATTGCGACAAATAGTTCTTGCTCGGCCTCGACCTGTCTGGACTCTTTAATTCGACCCCAATTCACCTTCCGATTGCCCACTCCGATTGGCGTTGACTCACATTGACGTCGAGTCGCACTCTGTACAATATTTGATGGGGTTTTGTTTGTCGACGCTTACGCTTTCCGCATCGCAACAAACGAGTGCGGGAATTGAGCAGTCACTAAAGGTTAAATATGGCTGCGCCAGGTTCCAACAAGCCCGATGTGGGCGATATTCTGGTGGTCATCCGTAAGTTCGTTTTCTCTTCCAGTCATAGATTGACACAGTGCAGCTTCATCAAGGAGTATCTTTTTTCTTCGGGGCGTGTCGGTGTTTCGAAAATCCAACAGACGGCGCCACGTAGCGTCGACGCTGTCGCAAACTTGAGATACATAAAAAGGCTGACCCGCATATCCCACAGACGACTTCCAAGCCCGTAGCTCGGACGAGTTGAGCTTAACCAAGGGTGACCGTGTGGAGTTAATCGAACGGGATGACGAGTTCGGTGACGGCTGGTTCTTGGGAAAACATCTGGTAAATGGCAACAGTGGTCTCTTCCCAGAAGGTATATATAAACCCCTCCTCTGTATAAGCCACAAAACAGCTGCATGGCAAACAGCCTCAGGTATTGTGCTGTAACTGATCTCGCCATACCTACAGTATATACGCGTCCTGCACCCAAGCCCCATTCGAGCAGCCCATCCCTCCAAAAGCCTGTTCTCTCGCCGCTGGCCGAAATTGTCAACGAGCAAACAACAAACCCCACTTACTCTTTCGACAACTTCAACAAAACGGCCGATGCAACTTTACCGTTAGGCTCCTTCAAACCAACTTCGGCACCCGACGGCCCTGCGCATTCGTATCTCAGCAGTAGTTTGCCAACAGGGGGCGTCGGACGTCCCGGCGCTAGCACCGACAGTCACGTCCTACACGAGACTCTGAATGTTATCGACGAACACATCACAGATCTGAACTCGACGCAAAGCAACGGAGCCCTTCGAAACACCGGAGATTCCGGTAGCGAATACAGCTCGCACATAGGCAACCGTGTCTCATACATTCAAGGCGAAGAAACAGACGAGGAGGAAGAAGAAGAAGGAAATCATTCACGAAGCGAGGTTGAATCCTGGTCCGCCGATCAAGTTGCCGAATACTTGTTTACGGTAGGAGTGGAGAAGCACCACTGTGAGGTGTTCCGTGACCAGGAGATCACAGGAGAGGTCATTCTCGGGATGGATCAAACATCGTTATTCATCAAAGCCTTTGATCTGGGGTCTGTGGGGAGACGGCTAAAGACTTGGCAGAAAATCAAAAACCTACAGGATGAGGTCAACGGGCAGGGACCAGGCTCGCGCGTTCTCAGTCAAACGTATGGGAGCGAGTTCGGGTCTGATGTCCAAGGAAATATGCGCAGCAGGACGAATACCCTCACAGGGTCGACTATCGCGGGGTCGACTTTGAGGTACTCTTCCAACACCAGCCAATCTCTGTCGGTCCAGACGAAACACTCATCGGAAACCCCCAAAATGGACCCTGTCCAGCCTGTGTCTCCAGTCTCTCCTGTGATGGAGAGCCCAAACCGTATGTTCCACGAAAGGAGACCCTCTGCTGCAGATATAAGAGACCTGCACCACTCTCGTCGCCATTCCTCGACTGATTTCCGTCTAGCAGGAGCATCCCCGGCCACCCCCAAGGTCTCGGGTGGGACGTTGCACGGAGCAGATGTGCCTCACAAGAAGCAACCGTCTTTCGACAGAAACTGGACGCTGGGCAGTGCAGGCAATTCCAACCGCTCGCAGCCCACGGCCGGGCAACTACATAGCTTGGCTGTTCAAGAACCGGAGATCCAGGATTCGGCAGTAGACTTGGATCGAGGCTACTTTTCAGGCACCGATGCCGATCCTCGGCAGCGAAACGTATTGAAGAAGCGCGAGAGCAAGGTGCCCGGTCTCGCGGAATCACCGAAGACGAGCTACACCGAAGAGCAGCGTGTGCGGAGCGCTACAACGCTTTCCAGACAGTCACGGTTAGGCAGCATTGATTCCTCTCGCGAAGCAGTCGGCATCATACCCACTGCACATAAATACTACGGGTTAGTTAGGCGCACTGCTTCCACGGCCACCATGGAATCAACTCGTCTATCTAGCGATCGGAACCCCCCTACGGTTACCAAACTCGAGGGATCTCCGGAACAAAACAGATCCTCTCCCAGATCGGCTCTTAAACGCCTGAGCCAAGTCAACCATCCGGATTTCAATATGGCCGGCATGCTAAAGAACGGCTTCGGCGGGTTACGGGCCGCCTCAGACGCAATCACGGGTACCGAACGAGCAAAAGTGGCGTCCCCAGTCGACACGCCATCCAAGGATTCAATTTCTTCACCCACACGCACCGGCTCGACCACGCCCTCTGCCGGCCGAAGTTTGGACCTCGACCAGGAGACTGCCAAGAGCTTGAGCACCGTAGCCACCGCTGCCGAGGCAGCGAAACAAGCAGCAAATCGGAAGAAGACCAAAAAGGAGACAAGTGCTTATACCCGTGGTTTACAAAAGATCAGCCCGCGGGAAGCGGTCAAGGATGCGGACTACAGTGGATGGATGAAGAAGAGGAGCGCCAACCTCATGACCACATGGAAGCCGCGACTCTTTGTTCTCAAGGGTAGACGTCTGGCGTATTACTATTCTGAAGACGATCAAGAGGAGAAAGGCCTGATCGATATTTCCTTCCATCGGGTACTCCCGGCGGATAACGAACGCTTGACTGGCTTCCACGCGACGCTGATGGGAGCTAGTAACTCCCCAGCAATTCCGGCTGGAAGCCATGTCCAGACGCTCGCGGACGCGGACGCAGAGCGGGATCCAACGGAAGAAGGGGATCAGATGTTCATCTTCAAGCTTGTCCCACCACGAGCCGGTCTCTCGCGAGCAGTGAACTTCACGAAGCCCACAGTACATTACTTTGCTGTGCCCAACATCAAGCAGGGTCGCCTGTGGATGGCGGCTCTGATGAAGGCGACTATTGATCGCGATGATACCCAACCAATCACGACGACATACCAGCAGAAGACCATTTCGCTTACCAAGGCGCGCCAGATGCGTCACAGGCCACCAGCTTTGATGAACTTGGTGGAGGCGAGTGAAGACAATGCCGGTGACGACAAAAAGGGTGCTGCAAAGAAGCAAAATGGACTAGGCATTAGCTACGACGAGGCGGACAGCGGAGTTGCGGGATTTGAAAAGCTGGGACTCTCTCACATTGACGAAGGTGGATTGGGATTTGAGAAGGATGGATCGGTTCCTCAGAGCGCCTAGGCGATTCCAAGCACCCATTTGGGGAACATCCATGATCTGGCCAGGCAATCACAACTTCAGCCTTGCTTTACGTCCAGAGTTCACGCGGGAGGAGGATATCCCAACCCTCCCAGTCCTTTTTTCTTCATTTTGATTCTTTTTTTTGGTTTGTTTCAGTGGTCATCATCCAAGACGTATATCCCTAATGTCGCCATGTATTTCAAGAACAATTGGGAAGGGAACGGGGCGCAGACGGTACATTTTGTCATGCTGCACGGGCTTAGTCAGGCAATGGCAGGTAGCGAAAGGATTAGTATGAGGAGATATCGAGTCGTCTTTTATCCCAGAACGAGTAGCAGTTGAGAGTCTTCCATCTCGTTATTCTCATGGGCATGTGCGAATACTATGGTCGTGATTGAAACGAAACCGTATGCTGTATTGTATCCGTATTGTATGTAAGTTACCCAACTTTACTGTGAAGGTTGCCCGAAGATGCCGCGTCGCGCAGTGTCCCCAGAAAAAAGTCGCGTCAGTGCCAGAGCCAGGCTTGCAGGCCGGCAGTAACAGCTTCCCGCTTTGTTGGAGCTCCCCAAGATCAACATTTCAGGCTGCCCGCACCAGAATACCTTATCACCCACAACCATCACCACGACCACCTACCGTACCCTTGACCGGCATCGGGAGAAACAACATCATCACGAACAGAGGTGGACGAATCATCCCACCCAGCGCGCCGTATCATTGGCGCCTCTGACGAATCATAACGGCTCGCGACTTTCAACCTGTAATAGTTTGAATTGACGAATCTCCAGCGAAGGACAACAAAGCGGCTCGCCTGCGCAAACCAACGACTCAGTCTTTAAGAGGTCCCGACATTGACCCGTCCGAACACCGACAACATACCAGGTGTCTCTTCCGCTTCATCTGTACCACGAACATCAACTTCAACCGATTCGAGCTTGTCGCCCAACCTCGACGGTCGACCATCTCCAACGACTTCTGCTGGCCCGCCCCTCTCCTCCGCGCCTACGACCATCACCACCAACATGGCCTTCTCGGGCAAAGGAACGCGAAATTCCGGGAGGACTGACTCCAGTCCCTCCGAATATAAGGGTGCTTTCAACACGAACTCAACCCCACAAAAGCCCTTGTTCGCTCAGCAGCGCGCGCAGAAACGACCCGGCGCACCATCTGCAAGAGGACCCCTCCAACCCTCGCGACTTGGCCAGGCAGTCATGTACAACGACGACCAAGATGAAACAGAGACAAACCAGCAGGAAGTCGTGGCTAACCGGGCAGGCACATTTGGCCTGCCATTCGACGACACCTACGACTTGGACGACAGCTCTATCTTGACGAGCGGCGCTTCTGGCGGCGACCTAGAAATGGGCGATGACGACTCCGACTTGATGATGCTCAATACCCCGGCTGCGACAGAGCGCGTCCGGAAGGAAGCCGCAGGTATCTTCCGCGCCTCGGTTGCGCAGTCTGGACCTAGGATACGCGATCTTAGATTTGCCGCCCTCGCGAAGGACGTCTATACACACATGGGCACCGCTTCCCTCATCGAGCCCGGAGAGATGATTTTAAATACCGAGAGGCTTATTGCCCGTCTGTATGATGAAGGTGTAGGCGAAGAAGAGGACGGGGAGAAGCTGGATGAGGCGCTTGCGCATGTCGCCGGTGAACTTACTGACCTCTGGAAGAGAACTATCAGCGACTTCCCCCACCCCGACGAAGAGCACACGGTGGAGGTTGGACCCGGTCCCAACACCTCCCCACTAGAGAAAGCGACCTACCTGGCCAACCTGGCGCTACATGTCCACCACGAACGGTACGAAGACAACACGGGACGTACTAGGCCTACGCCTTTGCCTGAGACACTGTTCAAGTGGCTAGACGAGTACCACAACGTTTACAGCGGCCAGACGGAAGATATTCTACGATACAGGCCGAGCCCGGCGTCTCATGCTCTCTTTGGCAAGCCATCTTCGTCACCCTTCTTAGGGGTAAGGTGGATGATGCGGCCAAACTGCTGAGACAAGCCGGGTGGGACAAAGTTAAGAAAGACAACGGCGAAAACAAGTACATCAACCGTGCCCTGGAGAGCGTGCAGCTTGCCACAGCTGAAACGGTTGCTATGTTGGAGAATTGCCCCGGTTACAATGAGAACTGGGACATCGGGAACAGCGACTGGACTCTATGGCGTGTCCGAACTAAGGGCGCGCTTGATCACCTTAGACGCTTCGCTGAGGGCCGCGATAGCACGCTAGGCGACTCCACATTTTCCGATTTCACGGCCTCAGTTTCGTCTAACCGGAATCGTGAGTCCATGGCCGGTCTGGCGAGACGGGCGGAGTCTCAAGTTCCATGGGAGATCTACGAGAAGCTGAACATCATCTTCGACATTGTTTTGGGGTCCAAGAGTGCTATCCTCAATGCCGCGCAAGACTGGTGTGAGGCCACGATCGGTCTCACTGCCTGGTGGGATGACAGGAGAGCCGATAAGTTCGGGAACCCGCTCTCCATGGCCCGCTCGCAAGCCCTCACGCTGGCCTCCCAATCGGCAAGCATCGACAGTTACTTGGATAGGCTGAACAATGCCTTCCATGCAGCCGTCGAACAGGACTTCTATTTGAACTCCAACAATCCTGTGGAAGTGGGAATCGCGTGTATTTTCGAAGATAACGTCAAGGGTCTCATCGGTCTGCTCCGTGGCTGGTCGCTCCCCATCGCCTCTGCGGTGGCCGAGATTGCTTCATTGGGCGGATGGCTTCCACAGCACCAGCCAGGAGCGCTCTTCATGGAGGGGCTCGATCAGGATGATCTGGATGTGCTTGGAGTCGACCCCACCGCGCCAGACGAGGTTGACGGAATCAAGGACAGCACGCTTATTCAGTACGCACAACAACTGACCGAAGATGAGGACATTGGAACGATCACGATTGACGATGAAGCTCGGGATGGCTGGGAACTAGCTATTCACGTACTCGGCCGTATGGACTCGCAGGAGCGTTCCGAAGAAATGATTGGAATCTTGGTCAGGCATATTGTCGATAGCTTGCACGTGGACTCGAACGAAGTGGTGGACAAGACTTGGTCTCTCCTAAACGAACTTGGCATGATCCCTTATGCCGAAGAAGTGGTTGAGGTAAGTACTCGGCGTCAAGACAGACACACCAAAACAAGACCATACTTGCTAACCTTTCGCTTAGACTTATGCTGATATTCTCGCGCGCGACTCTCACCGTTATGGTGAAGCGATGTGGTACTTTGCTCTGGCGCACAAACCGCACAAGGTTCGCGAGGTCATGAATCTCCTCATCTCATACTCCCTCATCCAGTCAACAGCTTTTCCACCAAACGAAGAACTCGACGACTGGCTTCACCGCCTCCTTAACGAGCGCAACGAAACTCTCGAGCAGTGTGCTAAGCAAGACCTCGAGGCCGCCGAACTCCTCGGTAAGATGCTTAGTGGCTACGCCTCGCTCCGCCAGTACTTCATCATCCGTGACGACGAGAGCATCCTTCCCAACGCCACTCCCTTCGCCCGCAAGCAGCAGGCCGCCACCGCACTGGTTAGTGTCATCGCTAGTTCCGACGATAACATCCGGGGCGGCCTTCTCGACCAGACGCGCGATGGCATCGTCAGCGAGGACTTCTTGCTCGCTCTCCTCGGCGAAGCCATTGCCTTTGTCACTAACCCAGACAACACCAACGTCCACCTCGGTCAGCAGGCCCTCCCCGTCCTCAATCTCGATCAGATCGACACTATCCTCAAGGCCATCGAGGACCTCCAGGCTGTCAGCGACCGCGTCCGCAGCACGTGCGAGGAGTTCCTGCAGATCGTGCTTGCTTCAGCGCCTGATGGTCTCAAGGGATCCACGCCCGGTGATATGCTCAAGAAGAATGCCAGCGGCAGCCTCGTGCTGGCGGGCAGTACTATGGTGGCAACTCAGCTGAAGAACTCGCTCAGCGGCGGACTAGTCGGGAGCGGTGCCAAGATGAACCCTGTCAAGCGCGGCTGGGACTGGAGGGCGGACATGCCGTCGAAGACTACCGGCGACGATGTTATGCGGAGGCTGAGACTGGGTGTGGCGAAGGATTTGGCGGGACTGTGGCTTGCTGATGCGGATAATGCGTTGTGGTAGGAGGCTTTGGTAAAGAGGGTACTGTAGTTGGGTATGGTTGATGAACGTTATGTTGCTACTGTAGGGCAGATATGTTATCTACATGGCAACAGCTGATAAAGACTCGGATTACATGGAAGAAGACGAACAAAACGAATAGAAGTGGTTTGTAGCTACCTGGTTCTCATCGACTTATTGACTATCGTTTGGTTTGTTTATTTATGTATTGATGTGTACGTGTATGGGAAACTGGTGGTTGATAGATGGCATACAGAGATGCCCTACTAACGTTTATCGGTTATATGAAGCGTTTGGTGGTCTCTATTCGATGTGTCCTATGTTGGACGAAGGGCATGCATAAAATCCCAAGGTAAAACCCATGAACACTGCCACTATACTCACCTTCCTGTACATGATCTCCATCCTAACCCATTCATACAGACAGACCTATTTTTCTCCTAACCCGCCTTACTCAAACGAGCGAATACCATGGTCACACGTCGGCCGCCTTTATATAATGGTATTTAAAGTTAGTTCAAAAAGTGACAAAAGAAGATTAGGTACCAACGACCGGTTCAAACCAGGTCATCAAGGACGGAGCCCAAAAGCCAACAACCCCTTGTTTCAGAGTAGTGGTGTGAGCCGTCTGGATCTATTTTATTTGAATTCTGTCTGTCGACCGGAGTGTTCCCAGATACCATATAGGTAGACCAGCGAGACCAGATACTAGGTTTGCGGTAACCCTTTACGTGTCTTCGCATTACCGTTCCCGAGCCGGACAGGTAATGAATGGATTTTGAGTTTTGAGACTCAAACGGTAGACCATTGTACCATCTGACCAATCTGATATCGGATCAAGGAGTGTCCGAGTGGTAGGGAAGGTACATAAGGAAGGTGCAGTGGGGGAAGCAGATTGAAAGAGACATTGAATCCACACACATACACAGTCAGTCACGTTTCGGTCAGTCACGCAGTCAGCAACAGACACTTCAGTTTGTTCTGATCCAAAAACCACGTTCAATTCTTCTTCCCCTCCCCTCCCTCTCTCTTCCCTTCCTTTCTTTTCGTTTGATACGACCAGAAGAACTAGGACTAATAAAACAACGGATCCTCTCCCTTGTCAATGGCCTCAGCCACAAGCTCGTTGTAGTAAGCCAGCAGCAGATCGTACTCCTCCTGGAGCTCGCCCTTGGTGCGGCCAAAGGCGCGGACGGCAGTGTAGTAGACGTTGGCGAGGGCGCGGCAGACGGAGCCGTAGCCGTTGGTGTCGCATTGGTAATAGAGACTGTGCGGAGTGAGGAGTGAGTGAGCATTTGGGTTAGATGATGATGATGGATTTGTTTCGTTTGAGGGCTTGAGGAAGAGGGCGAAGAAAGAAAGAGAGAGGTGGAGAGACGGATTTGGAGGGAGGGATGGGAGGGAGGGAGGGAGGGAGACATACTCGGTCTTGAAGTTACCATCGACCTTCAACCTGTTATCGTCCGTAAACCTCGACTGGGCCTTGTAGTTGCGATACCCAAAGTCGTGACGGTCGCAGGCGGGCGTGAAGGGGAATCCCAACGGGTTGTCGGGCGAGTAGCTGCACCCGTCCGAGGACCAGTCGAGCGTGGCCGGGCTCTTGGCGTTGCGGTAGACGTGGAACTGCGGGAGCGTGATGCTGAAGAGGTACCGGTCCGTCGTCTGCTGGATGGTCTCGGCGCGGCGGAAGAGGGAGCCGGCGCCGGTCTTGTCGCTCTCGCTGCCGGCCCAGGCCCAGGCGGCCGTGGAGAGGAGGGAGGAGAGGGCGAGGGTGGAGAAGAACTTCATATTGATGAAGATGGTCAAACCAGGTGGAACAGTTGACTGCTGAGCTGTTGGCACACAGAAGAGAAGAAGTTCTTTTTCTTTCTTTCTCAGCTGGGCCGGATGATCTGGTCTTTATACCTCTCTTCTCGGGTTCCTCCCCCTTCCCCGTCTCCTCCGTTCGGGCTCTCGACGTCGGCGTTTGTGTGCGTGATGTTGTTCATCGACGACGAGATACACACACACACACACGATAACCAACTTTTGATCCCAGAGCGGTTATGGGATCTTGTCCCGTCGTCGCATATTGTAACCTGCCTTAATGGGCAGTGATGCCCGTCACCTTTTGGTCGAAGTCGGCGATGTGCGGTGCGGGTATGTGGACGCTGGGTTTGGCGTGCTGGATTGCTTACATCCCATTCGTGGGTATATGCAGGTCTACCTTTGAGGCACTCTTACCAGACCGCAAAGAACAAGAGGGCAGCTTGAGAGAGGGGAAGGGTTACCTGACGTTGCTTCTTTAAGATGGAGCTGGGTAACGGGACGAGCCACGAGGACATCTGAGAGTTGGATGTATAAATGGTGGTTAAAACTGGATGTTTGATTGGCCACTTCTCCTCCCATTTGGCCAAGAATCCTGCTAGAAATTCTTGAGAAGAGGATCTTGGTAGTCAACCATGATTGGAGGTTGGGAATGCGGAGGAGCCATGAATGCAACCGCCCGGTAGATGAATTCCTCCAGAGGCTTGTTGAGGACCGGACAAGACCATAGGTCCGGATGGGGAAAAGAGATACACACGAACTGGCGCCTTTAGTACATTAACGCCATGCCCTTTCCTCCGAATCCCCTCACGGCGGAGCTTCGCCCTTTCACAAAAGCGGAAGGAAGACAAGAACCTTCCCCTCTCACTCACACCAACGACATGCAAATGTGGTAAGCCATACGTACAATGAATGGGTCTCTCGGGGGTTTCGAACGCTTGAAGGTGCCACTGCCATCGGTAGCTGATATCCGATCTAATCATCACGCAGCATTGCGTACGTATACTCAAATATAACGGCAGAAGTAAGGGAAGACAAAAGGCGAGAAGGGTTATTACTACAATAATTTCTATGCAAAGCACGTAGGTCCCATCGCACTCTAGTGTCCACAGTCGATACCCTCTCAGCAAAATAGAGTTACATTGCCGGCGATTCAAGAGCCAAGACGTCGGGGAGTTACTTAAAGTGGGATAGGACCTCTGGACACTGGTGGGTAAGGTAGGAGAAAGAGGCCGAATGAATTGTTGGGTTGTGCCGGTTGGAAACTCAAGCAGTCTCAGTTTCTTTTGGGTTGATTGGGTGATGAGTATTAAGTAGTTGATGAGAAATAAATCGAGCGGAGTTATGTCCGTCTATTGGAGGGCTTCGTGTGCGCTAGATATGTATAGGCAAGAATTGCCCATGATTTATAGTGGCCGCGGAAGGATCATTTCATTCGGAGAACTGACGATAATGCTTGAAAGTCGAGCCTCAGCTATTCGAAATATTAAGTACCTACCAGAGAGTATTCTTTAACTTGAAGTAGCAGCGGATTTGAAGCGCCAACTGAGCTTAATCTGAAAAGGAAATGAAGTGAGGAACTTAATCGTTTGTGGACAAGCGCCAGTTCTTGATATCAGCCAAAAGTGCAATGCAGCTTGGCATGGCCCATGACATGAGAAAGCTGTAAGCGTCGATGAGGCAAGGAACATCGAGCAGTTTCTGAAGAGTGATTCATGATGTGGCTGATATATTCAGGTAGGCAAGTAGATGGGTTTCGTGGGAATGTATGAAAATAATGTAAGGCGTCTCGCCGTCATCTTTCTTCAGTCCTTCCTGTGCTCGCATAGGTTTCACCAAGCCCCCAAGTTAATAAGCTCAATAATAAGCAAGAGTAACGAGGGACCGAGTATCGTCTTATCGGCTTATCATTTAGTGTCGTCAGTGTGCCGTGTAAGAGGAAGCAGCTCCGGCTCCGGGGCCCGTGGTGTTATCGGAAGATAAGACAAGGGGGTGGATATAGTCGGATGCCGGCCGGCAGACCGCTCCGTTTGTCGGCTGCCCAACAAGGTGCCTCTTTGTGGTTAGAAGTTCCTCTCCGACACTCCCCAACACTCTCAACCGATGAAATGAACAGCATCACGCAAGTTTACGATTTCGCACATATTCGTTGGGAAAGTTTTGATTTCTATTACCCGATATTCAGGTTAACAGTCCCGTCTTGGAAGAAGCAAACAGCCCAATTCGCCGACCGGTCATCATGACCCGGTCAACCGTTCCCAGACAGTCCCCAGATCCAGATCTATATGTAATCATCATCCATCCCCAGAACCGACACCACAGCCATGTTGGTAGGCCACCCCTTGGCTGACCTCGGGTTCCTTCCTCCTACACGAATACCGAAATGACGTTGCATAAATCAACGAGCATAAAAGAGGATGACCAGGTCCATTGACGCCATCGCAGAGATGATGCTGACAGCAAACCCCGTTGCTCCAAAGTGTTGCTGAATGTGAGCGCTTTCTCTAAGCGCCTATTCTCGAAATGAAGAATCCCCAACCAAATATCAAACGCCCACCTGAAAAGAAGGAAATCAAATGCAATAGTAAGAGTCGCCAACATGAGGGTGGGTGGCTGACGATTAGTGGCATCGCCCGAGGATCCCGGGTGAGTACCGCCACCCTGCTCGCTCAGCGTCGTGTCGTTCGCATAATTCGTTGTCGTTGTCGTCGCCCACTCAGACCGTTCGATGATATCGCCGTGATCGCATCGCAACAATTTGCCACCATTTCTCTCGTTATGGTAAATTGCCGTTCGTCATCCTCTCATCGAGTATCTGACGGTGTACCGAGTTCGCGCTCGATGGTAGAAGACGAGCAAAGACGTTGCTCTTGACGACGTTGACGCTGTCGCCAGCGCTGACGATGGCGGAGTCGTCCATTATACGCCCCTGATGACCCGCGTCCGCTCCTTTTCGAGCTGCAGGGCATTTGCCTCGAATGCCTCCTTCTTGCACTGATGATTGGAGAAACACTCATGTCAGCACGAAATTCCTCTTGAAGCAAGACATCTGATAGCCCGGCAAGCCACCAGTTTGACTTGTTGCTACTTACGTCTTCGAGGTTCTTGCACTTGTGGCTCTCTAGCAGGCGGTGCTTGCTACAATAGTGGCCGTCGCAGAAAGTGCAGTCGCCTGTGATAGGTGCTGCTGGGAGTCTGCACTCGGTGAGCGAGCACTTGAGTCTCCTGGGTCCAGGCATGTTGTAAGAGGTAGTTGTTGAGTTGATGTGGAGGCTGGATAACGTAAAGGTGATGTTTGGGTGGAGGTTGTGGAATTGGCAAGGAGGAAGAGCAGCGACCCTTGGGGCGAGTTCTAGTCTGTGTTTTTTAAGTTGTCGTTTAGGTTTTCCGAGGATAGGATGAGTGAATGGTGAGTGACGAATCGATCAATAGATAAACGGCTGATGAGACGGAAGGCAGTGAGTGAGTCAGGAAAGATTGAACAACGGAGGTTCGAGGTTGGCGGGATGGGATGCTTATAAACAGAGCCGGTGGAGGTGACAAGCCGAGAAGCCGAGAGTCATGAGCGGATGCCAACAAGGCTCACGTGGTGTTATCTTTGGGGACAACCAAGGGATAGGCGGCCAAGTGGCAGATTAACTCGGGCTAGTTTCGCGAGACTCTTGTTGCAAGTGGAAATGGCTGGAAAGCGTTGGATTTCGTTGGCCGGGGGGTGGTTGAGTTGGGATGGATGTAAGTACAAGCGTTGTAGGTGAAGTAGCTGGGGCCAGACTTGGACGTGATGTGTGACCAGTGTAAGTGACAAGGGAGCTACAAGTGACCCGAGGTGACCAGGACCCTAAGGACGGTGCGCAGTGTGCAGGAGAGGAGGGAGGCGGTAGAGTTAGCCTGGCTGCTGGCATGGCATGGCATATGCTGGCAACGTCTGGGGCTGACATCTTGTCCCATCGAGAACAGCACGGCCATCGTGGGCGTGTCGATGACGGCACGGCCGCACGGGAGGCAATGCTGGGGACGGTATACAGGGCCCAATTGGTGCTTTGGCCATAAAGACCCGCTAGCACCATACCCAAGGCTTCCTTGTCCGTGGTTGTTGGCGCCGGGAATTGGAAGGGATTGGATCGACGGAAAGTGGTGCCAGTGCTCAGTGACAGTGACTCCAAGCGACTTGAAGCGACTCCGTACAAGCCGAGAACCCCGCGAGGTTTGGTGGATGAGCTCAGGAGAGCCTCCCAAGGGACCAGGTCTTCAGGCGAGTTGTCAGCTTTGTGAATGGAACTCGACAGGCCTGCCGAGAACAGTCAAGGAGCAGCGAGAATCCGACCCGTTAGCACCGAGAGTGAGACCTCAGCTCAGCTCTCAGATCACATCAGTCATCCACCACCTGATGGTGAAGGGGTCACAGGCGCCAGTCCAGATTTTCTCAATGCGGCACAACCTTTTGGTTCACGACAGTTGGGGTGGTGGAACGCCATGCAGTGACCAACAAACAACATACCTACGGTAACCTTTGTCGATTACCTATTGTTGTTGTTTTTAGGCTGTTGTGACTTGTGTGAGTGAGTGGCACTCCGCAAGCCGCCTTCTTGGTAATGAATGCATCACGACTGGATCATCACTTTTGGTACTAGGCATCGCCTGCAGGCAGCTACAGTCATGCGTAATAATGCGCGTCCGTCCGGCAGCGCAGCGGGCCCGAGCCTGCTTGGACAGCGGCAAGCAGTGACATGAACAGCAGAAGACAGTTGGTCTTGCATCACGGGGATAGCTGTGGTACCTACTGCGCGCACTATGTATCAGGGTGCAGCATTCAGTACGGGGATTCACAGGGTAACTCACATGGTTAGGGGTCTCGCTTTCCCGGGGTACATGCCTATCACTGATATTTCCAGGGTGGTGATGGTCGTTTCCGGGGTACTGCTCTGGTCCATCGGAGGACTCTGGATACCTTCAACAAACTTGGCCCTGTTGCGAGACTAGAC